TGCAAACCTCTTCTACTTGGCAATAGAAGGCCTTGGGATACGTGGCTTTTGAGAAGTCAGGAGGATGCAAGCCACCTGCTCGTTAACACCATACTTACAGATCTTTGCCAGGAGCCGTGCTATCAGAGCAGAAGCTCCTGGGCTGGGGTGAAACATGGTGCTTGGACTCTGTGTCTGAGACCACACATTCAGTAAAGATCATTGCATCTCTTTCTCCTATGCTTTGCAAGGACTGTGGCTGCCAGAAATAGTGATGGAAAGACATACTGGAGTCTCTTCTGTTCATGAACAATGTCTCATTCGTTCTGAATGCTTACAGCAAAAAGCTTCTGAAGGATGACAGAGATGTACCTCTGATGTTCCCAACCTGAGGAACATCCCAGTTCCCCACTCTCTGATCCAGAGGCTGCTCATACAAGTCCACCTCAGGTTAACTGTCTCTATCAGCAGTCGTGTTCACCTTTCCATATAGATACATGGCAATCAGTAATGGCAGAGTCCATGTGCAGGGCTTCCTGGTGCCTCCCTGTTTGTTAATTTAAAACATTATGACCTGATGGTTCCAGTTCAAATGAATAATTTGGGGGGGGAATTAAATCCTTATGATTTGGATAGACGTGTTGGAAATCTATTTTTAAATAAAGGTGGTTCCCTCATAACACCAGGCCATGAGGCTTAAAAGTAATCTTCCTTTCAGATGTGATGTGAGAGTCTGTGCTTCGCTTGATTTCATTGGAATCTTGGGTCAAGTCAGCATTTACATTTTTGCTTGTATACCAGTGGGTGTTAGTGATATTTTTTTTAAAAGATTTCTATAGTGGCAATACCCTAGTGTAGCGATAGCTATGCCAGCAAAAAGTATTTTGTTAGTAGGGCTTATTTTGTTTGGGGAATGTGTATAAGCTATTCTGGCCAAAAACACTTCATTGCTGGTTTAAGCTGCATCGGAGGGTTTGCTGGTATAGCTCTACTTGCAAGCCTTTTCCTAGCCTAGGGTTCAGGGTCTACTGCAGCATTGGGCAACCAAGAAGAATGAGTGGACCGCATGGGTGGCCCTCCTTCACCTCAATGGGTCGCAGCACTGGAGTTCCATCTGCAGCCCCTCTGTCTACCCCCCCGCCCACTCCATGCACCTCTTATGCACTGGGGCACTGGAGCCTTGCATTTCTTACTCCTTCTCCTCCCTCTCAGCACGTTCAGAGTGCCACAAATCTGATTCATGCTCCATCCCCACTTGTCCCCCTGCCTCCCAGTGCTGGAATACCACAAATCAGCTGTTCACAGCTGTTCAAGCACTGGGAGGAAGGGGGTGTAGCAGGGACAGAGTGCAAATTAGGCAATTCATGCTCTCTGAAAGTGCTGAGAGGGAAGGGGAGGCCTAGAGGGTGGGAGTGTGTGCAAGAGGCACATGGGGAAGGGGATCAGGCGGCCATGGGTGGAACCCCAGTGGCCCACATTAGGGATGTTTGATAGCAGGTAATTGAATAGCCAACTAACAGCTTGAATTCGTAGTGATTACTTGACTATTCTATAGTTCCTCGGTGCGGGGCCGGCAGTCAGTGCAATCCAGCTCCACCCCCAGGGAGCCCCCTGCCACCCTCACGCTGCTGCTTCTACCTCTCCAGAGCAGGGTGCCAGGTAAGAGCCACTCCGCAAGGAGAGGAAGTTTAAAAACCAACTCCCCTTGTGTACTGGCAGCCTGCCGCCCCTTGCTGCTGCCTCTGATACAGGGAGACAGAGGCTGCTGGGGGTGGAGGAGGCTGCCCTGAAGCAGCCTCTACATGTGGCGGGCCCAGGCTTGCTGCAGACAGAGATTGCTCTGGCAGCAGCCCCTATCTGATGTGGGGGGTGGGAGGCATGTGGCACCATGGTGCTGGTTCTGGGGGGAACCAGCTTTTAAGCTGATACAGAGGCAGCGGGGGCGGAGGAAGGGGAGGAATGCAAGTAGTTGACTAGATTAACCAATAAGCCTAGGCTTATCAGTTAATTATCTAGTCGACTACTCGTTCATATTCCTAGCTCGCATGCGACCCATTGGCTGCAGGTTGTCTACCGAAGTTCTCATTTGTGAGACATACTAAGGCACTGTAACTATTGCTATTTACAGTCTTAAGAACCGCCATATGTGATCACCTGCTGGTTCACACTTCACCTTACTTCCTGACAAGTGATGTTTTAGATGTTCTCCTTGGACAGAAAGGCTCTATTTAGTTGAGTAGTGATTAGTAGGAGCTCTGTATATTTTGGCCTCTGGAAACAAGTTCAGAGTTTGGGTAACTTTATCAAGAACCCTAGTGACTCTAACTGTGACGCATACTGATCTTTCAACACCCTCTAAATTAATGTTCTTCATGACAGATTTATCCAAGTAGTGTATTCCAAACTCATGCAGGCAGGTAACATTTCCCAGAACGTTTAGTGACAAATCGATAAAGTAACACAATATTTTAGTATTTTGAAATTTCCTTTTTGTGCATCCACTAATTTCTTATCTTTTTGGGATTTACCATGTTCTAGTTAGTTATCTTATCTTACAATAGCATTCTTGACAGAATATAGAATAGAATCCATTCCCATTTGAATTATGATCCTGGCTCCAATACTGACTTCCTCTGTAGATTAACCAAATCATTTAATCTCTATCTCAGTTTCTCTATCTGTGAAACAGGGAAATAATTAGAACAGGGTTCCAGTTAGGGTATGTCTGTACTTGCACCTTAGTTCGAACTAGGGATGCAAATGTAGGCATTCGAAATAATCAATGAAGCGGGGATTTAAATATCCCGCATTTCATTAGCATCATCTCACCGGCGCGTTACCCCAATCAACAGCTGTTTCGAAAGTGAAAGTGCACGCCGGGACGCGTTAGTTCGAACCAAACCCCTTGGTTCGAACTAACGCGTCCCGGTGCACACTTTCACTTTCAAATCAGCTGTGATTTGAACTAGTGCACCGGCGAGACCTTGCTAGTGAACTGCGGGATATTTAAATCCCTGCTTCATTAGCAATTTCGAATGCCTGCAATTGCATCCTTAGTCCGAAGTAGGGCGCTCGAGATGATGCTAATGAAGCGAGGGATATTTAAATCTCTGCTTCATTGACTATTTCGAATGCCTACATTTGCATCCCTAATTCGAACTAGGGTGCAAGTGTAAACAATTATACCCTTTGAGACTAAGAGCCAAAATAGCTGTGAATAGAGTGCAAACAGCCACATATTATATATTTATTTTATCTCTCTAGATAGACAGATAGATAGATTATACAAAATATAGTGATAAAAATAACATTACAGGACATTTCAGACAAAAACCAATAAAAAAGTCTCTAGTCACTTAAAAAATTCACAGCCAGTCCAGAGAACTTGACAAGGAACAAACATCAAATTTAAAAACAAAACCCTTTGAAAATACAGTAATATTCTCACACTAAAAATAAGCATCCCCACCATGTATTTTAAATTTAACACTACTGCCCTATTATGTCCTGTGAGTTTTTTAAAATTAAACTGAACTGAGAAATAAATTAGCACAATTTGAAGTGTGTTTCACTCCAGCTTGTTGATCTCTGGTATGGTTTCCTCACTTTTTTTACTTATGAATATTATGGCTTTTTTATAGTTCTAAAAATTCAGGTCTGTTCCAGAATGCAAATATGACAAGTTCAAAAACAATAAGGGAGAGACTCATATCTCAGAATAATTGCTTCAGCCTGGCAAACAATAGCCTCTGAATTTTCTTTAAAGAAACACAGTGTAAACTAGGTACATGCTGATTCTTTTTATGCCCTGGAATTTAAATATGACATCTGTGTTGGCTGCCTTATCTGCATCCATGAAGACTTTGAGTTTAAGGTGTTTCACACACACACATCTGCTCTAACCCAATGCCTGGGTCCTCATCGGAGCCATTGCCACCACCACTGCCACAGCCACACCCTTCTCCCTCCAGGCATCGGGGCACGTGTGCAGAGCAGTTGTGAGCAGTCCGGGTGCCCAGCTCCAAATGACAATCAAGCCATAATCCTAAGGGCCGCATTTCTCTAAGCAAAGAGCCACATGTGGCTCGAGAGCTGCAAGTTGGCCACCCCCATATTAGAATTTGGCAGGGAAAGCATGCTTTGGAATCATGGACCTGGGAAGCCCTCAGTTTCTAGAAGTCTGCAGATGGGTGAATTGGCAAAAAAAAACATAGTTTTCAGTTGGAAACTTGCTGTTTCCACCAGGACGGTGTTGAAATAAATATTTCCATGTAATATTCTGATTTTGATGAATTGACAAATTCCAATGAAAAACTGGTTTTGTCAGATTTTTTTTCTGACCAGATCTGATCACAATCCTTACCTATATCAAGGGCAAATACTTTACTAATATTGACCAAAATTTTCAAACCTCATGCCCTATTATGGATAGATAAGGCCCAGATTTCAGAGATGGTAAGTACTGAAAATTGACACTGAAGCAAATTAACATTATGGATGCTTAGAACCTTATGAAAAACAAACCTCCTTTGCGTGCCTCAGTATAACTTTAATGTGTAGCTTCAGGTACTCAGGTTTGAAAGTTATGGTCATGAAATATCATTAGAATCTGTGCTGCAATAACTTACAAATAAAGAATCCACTGAGATAATGTTGTAAAACTGAGGAATTCATATTTTAAGTAGGAGATCATAATGCTGCGTACACCTCTTTGCTATACACACATGGCTTTGATCTTATAAGAAGGTGTTAAAAATGTTTTTTCATATCAGTAATATATAAAAGCATGAAGGTGAGGCTGGTAAAGAGTACAACTTTCAGAGAACATAAACTGTAGGCGGAATGTTCTTGCTAAAGATATGTTTGCTTCAGTAGAATGCCAGTGACATTAACAATTAACAGCTCCTGCCAATCTACTCATCTGTTGTGGGAGCTGCTTGCCAATCTACCTCATTTTTACATTTGTTAGACTTAATTTCTGTTAAATATTTTCATAACTCTAATTTTCTACTTATCTGCAGCTGAAGTTCAGAGTGAAATTGAACGGATATTTGAATTAGCAAGGACATTGCAGCTGGTAGTACTTGATGCTGATACCATTAATCACCCAGCTCAACTAAGTAAAACCTCTCTGGCTCCCATTATAGTATATGTAAAGATTTCTTCTCCCAAGGTAACTGTCTTACTGTTAATTTTGTTTCAATCCTTTCTTTGAGACTCATGCCATAGGTACAAAGGAACACAGACTCTATGCTGGATGTCATTGAAGATCAAGGAATGGCACTTTTGAATTATTTCCCTTTGGATGGGAAGATATCATTAAAAGGATATCATCTCATCAGTGGGTTACAAAATCACTTTTTTTGTGAGAGAGATAACATAGTTCTGGTGGTTACTTAAATTTGAACTAAAGGAAACAATTATCCTCTTGTTTGTTATTGTTTTTGTAATATTACTTTACAAAGCGCCAAAACCTTGGTAAAAGCTTTTCAGAAATATGAGCTAAGATCCTTGTCTCAAAAACTTTACAACCCAAGTCGACAGTATAGAAAAGAAAGTAAGAGCATAGATGTTCTGAGCAGCAGGACAACTGGTACACTTCTAAGATCATGTGTAGTTCTATGGGTTTTGTTCAGTTTATCTTTAAGGTATCTAGTCATTTAATTTGTTATGTGGACCTCTACATTTATAGTTTTCTTGGATCAAGTCCATCCTGAAGATATGTTGGAAGGAGAAAGTGAAGGCCTGTCAAATTGGTTCTTGGAAGAGCAATCTCAAGAGTCTCGGTATAAATGGCTCCTTGGAGAAAGGCATACATGAAAACTGGAGCACTTGAAGGAGCCACTTAGTATAACTTGAACAGAAAAGGAGAGAGAAAGGGAATGAAGGGAATGAGAATAGAGAGATAGGTGGGAGTGACGTTGTTCAGGGTCTAAAAGGCAAGGGGATAAGGCTTGTAAGCCAGTGAATGAGAAGTTATTACATATGTTAAAATTATACAAGAAGAGTGTTACTTTTTTGAAGAGTACACACATATATTGGGCCCAGTTCTGCTCACAGTCAAGTCACTGGGAAATCTCCCATTGAACTGAGTGGTTTTAATCCTATTCTAATGTACTACTACTTGTTGATGAATTCTTTCTTTTCCCACCCATTTTAACTGTCTTATTTTCCACAGGTTTTACAGAGGCTAATAAAATCTCGAGGGAAATCTCAGGCTAAACACCTTAATGTTCAAATGGTGGCAGCTGATAAACTGGCTCAGTGTCCTCCAGTGAGTTATGTTAATGTGTTATTGATGTGAATATGTAGACTCCTGTTCCAAGGGACTTTGTTTCCAAGTAATAAGCTAATTGTGTAACATTTGTTGGTGCTTGCTACTGTCTGGCCTTATTTCACTTGTCATTTTGTATAAAACTCCATTGGAGATTTCTGCTTAGCATAATGGTTCAATACATTGTTTTTTCAGCAACATTAGCCCTGTAGATGCACAGGTGTTGAGCCACCAATATTGTACATGATCCATAGCTGAGGAATTAGATTACTTCAGTAACTCTTTCTAAGTTATTGTTCCAAAACTGAATCAATTTGGATTATGACCAAAAGTTGCTTCTATCTGAAGGTAGATTAGTGGTTCACATAAAATGGTCTGTATAAAATGAATTGGTGGCTTCCTTGTAGTTCCTACTGGGCATATGCCCAGTGAAATATATGAGGTCGTACTATTGATTTGCACTGTATCCTTGTACACTTACTTTCTCCATATTTAAAATGAAGATGATAGTATGCTCAACTGCTCACTATTCGCGCTAAGCAAAGAATTGATTTTTCTGATTCAGGTACCAAACTGAAATATCTAAAAAAAACAAAACCTAAATTCAATATTGACCTTTTTTGGCCTCTCCTGTTCCTCCCCTCAGTAGCTGCAGTTTTTCTAAGAGTGAGGGTATATAAGAGGGCACAGTGCCCTCTACCACCTCAGCTTCTTGCAGTCACTATGCCAGATGGACATAAACTGCTCCATTCCATTCAATAACAACTGCAGCTGACCAACCCATCACATCCTTTTGGGTACTATTCCACAACAACTGGGAGCAAATAACATCTGACCCATGATTCCTTGAAATTATCAGCCATAGGTAGTCCAAACACTTCACTTTCTCCCCTCTCTCCCAACCAACACCCTTTCCCATCCCTCCTCAGAGACTGTCCTTACAAGAGTTTATTCAGGAGTGGCCATAGACAAGCTGCCAGCAACTGGCGCACTAGGCGAAACGCGTAATCGGCGCGCAATTGGTGCCCCTGCCTCCAAAGCCCTCAACAGCCGTTTTTCTTGGTACCCTAGGTGACCGCCTAGGTCGCTTGTATTGACAGGCCGCCACTGAGTTTATTATGGCAAGAAATAGATTACCTCCTCTGTCTAGGAGCTATAGAGCCTCTATCTTAGCACCTGTGAGATAAAGGTTTCATTATTTTCTGATACCAAAGAGAAAAGAAGGTTGGAGACCCATACTAGAATTCAGAGCACCGACCAATTTGTCAAAGCTAAAAAATTAAATATGATCACACTAGCAGCCTTTTTTCCATCTTTGGAAAAGAGAGATTGATTCTTGGCCCATAACCAACAGGATGCCTATTTCTCATATTGAACTTACCTTCCAACAAAAAATTCCTAAGATTTACCCTGGACCAGGACCATTATCAATACACAGTACTCCTCTCATTGACCTCTCATCGACTCTGAGAGTACTCTCCAAAGTTCCCTCCATAGTGGCAGCTCACCTAAGCTCCAAGGAGATTATGATATACTCTTACCTGAACAATTGTCTCCTGAGAGCCCACACCTTCAACCAAGCCCTCTGGAACATCCAGACTTCTGTAGACTTGTTCACAGAACTGGCCTACAGATCAATTTTCAAGAATTGATGGTTACTCCTGTATAGAACCTAGCATGCATAGGAGCTGATCTCAGCTTGTTACAAGGAGGGTACTGCTTCTGCAGCAAAGGTTTCACACCTTGTACTCAGAGAAGCAGTACAATCCAGTCATAAGATATCAGCCAGACATTGCCTCCTACTGCTGGGGTACATGGCTGCAGGCACATCTTTGACATACCAGATTTCTTGTCAGGTGCCTTCATATGCTGAACAAAGATAAAAACACGGTCTTGTGCAAGAGCCATTCTGCTGCTTATTTTCAGGCAGAACGGCACTTGCGCAAGAGGGGGTTTTTGCACAAAAAGGAACAGTTTAGACTGCTCCTTTTTGCGCAAAAGCCCCTTGCGCAAAATGGCGGCTCACTAAGTATGCAAAGGAGGCAAGGCAATATTTCTTGCCACATTTGCCTATGTTCTTGAGCAAGACTGGTCAGTGCAGATGTAGCCCTTGTGTTAGGAGAATGCTAGCCTTTTACCTGGACAGAACAAAGGTCTTTAGGAAATCTCCTAAGCTTTGCCTCTCTGATGGGTTATCTAACATGTCTCCCCTTTTGAGGGAATCTTGTCCTTCCTTGGTAATGTAATTTGGTCTTATTTACACACACAAAGCCACCTTTTGAACCTTTCACTGAGTATTATTTGTATTATTTCTCTGTTCATTATTGCCGTGCTGTCAGCCGGAAGAGTGAGTGAATGAAATAAATACCATGATGGCTAATCTACCATATATGACTTTTCGCAAAAGTGAAGTTGCTCTGACCACAGGTTTTTGCCAAAAATGGTTTCTGAATATCACATCAATTATACAATTAATTTGCCAGTGTTTTTCCAGGACTGCATATGAATAAAGGGGAATCTTTTTAACACTGTTTAGATGCTCTATGATTTAAATAGAATTAAAAGGTTTTGAAAATCATTTACATTATTCATCTTTTATACTAAGACTCTTAGGAATCATACAGGAACCAGACTAGTTCTAGATGGATTAGACAACGTATCGTTGAATATATGTTACAGAAATTCTGGCACCTACAATGATACAATTTCCTTTCACTAGAGCTTTGACAGCGTCTTTTGCACACATTAAGCAAGTCCCTGTTGCTGAGATTTATAGGGCTGTAACCTGAAGTACTGTGTACAGTTTTACTAAATATTATGCTCTTGATTTGGCTGCAAGGGATGATGCTAGATTTGGGAACAAGGTGCTTCAGTCTCAGTTCTTTTACGATTCTGGTCCCTCCTCCAGCTTATTTGCAGCCCTGCTTATCAAATTATCCATAAATGAAAATATGCAGAGCCACTCAAGGGAGAAAAGGTTTTTTACTTGTAACCAGAGTTCTTCAAGCTAGCCCTGCATATTTACATTTTCTGCTTGCCTTCCCTTCTTTCTCAGAATCATCCCTTCCTTTCCCTGGGTTGGTGATGGAAGGAACTGAGGTTGGAGAGGGTTTTGTGCCCCCCTCCCTTGTGCTTTGTACGTTTTAAGATGCTGACGGGAGGTGTAGGAAGGACCGGGCAAGCCTCTGGCAGACATGACTTGGAGAAGGCTCTACCATTAGGCATCAAAAGGCAGGACAATAACTATAAGTATGAATATCCAGAGCCAATTCACAGAAGTAATCTTCAGTTTTTCACTGTACCGCTATAAACAAAATGAAAACTCAAGATGAAACATTTTGAAAAGACTAAAATTAACTGTTTCAGCTTTTAAATTTATTTTTCCCAATTCATTTTGGCTTTAATGATTTGCCAAATTGAACTGGAAGTTGACTAGTTAGCGATCTGAGAATTGCATTTTTCAGCAAATGTACTGTTGGTCAAAAAGATCACCCAGGTGTACCCTTACAAACATTGTGAGAATTTTCACCATGAATATTCTTTATTATGGACTTTACTACATACCTCCAATTCCTAGCGTGCCTGTGGTGCCAGGGCTGTACCTGGTGTACCATGTCCCAGAGGCAAGTAATGTAGCTGCTTCAGCAGCTAAGCCTTGCAGGTGCTACCCTACTCTTGGTGAATCCCACTTAACACTCACACAGATGGTGGCTAAGACAGAGGTTTTACTTGAACAGGCAGAAAAGTATAAAGATTGTGAATAGCCTGGGTACAGAGGCATAACCAGCTGCAGTTGACCATGGGCGGTTTCTGTTGGGTCTCAGGGGCAGTCTATTTGAGAGTTAGGTCTTAGTGTCTGGAGTGCCCTCTCCAGGCAAGTCTCTTGCAGGCTTTTGGGCAAGGCTCAGTGAGTATCTCTCCTGCTGCTCCTCTGTAAATTCCACACATACTGTACCCAGTTGCAATGTTGGCAGTCACAGCTTGTTCCACATCTGACTCTCCCCACTGTTCCTCTATCTCCCTGCTGCTGTGTGGCTCTCACTCCCAGAACAGAGCCTAGGCACTTCCTGATTCAAGATCTTTTCCCTTACCTGGCCTCTGGAAGTAGAAGTGCAGTGAGGAGGGGACAGATGGGGAATGTAGTCCTTGCTTGGTCAAGAGGAAGGGGATGTACAATGGGAAAGAGCTGATGGGAGTCCTAGTCCTCTGCTTTGCAGATCCATCATTATACCATAATATCAATAATTTGCTAGACACTGTTCAGGCATGTATAAAGACAAGGTTCCAGCTTCAAAGAACTTAGAGACACCATGGGGCCAATCCAACAGCAACTGAAGCTGATTTGGAAACAATTCTGTAGGCCTTGTAGTGGAAGTGGGATGTAGTGGTAAATGAAGAGTGAGTTAGTACCTGTGCAGTATTTTAAAGATGAAAATCACCACAAAAGTGATAAGTATTATTAGCTTTGTCTATTACTGTTATCATTTTTTCTCCCTTTGTCTGAAGTATCACTAGGAATGGGAATTCCACAATGTTCCTTGGCAGCTTGTTCTATCGTCTGTTTATTCCAACAATTAAAAAAGGCCTTTCTACTATTTAACTTCTCCGTCCATATTTAAGTTTTAAAATGTATTTAAAATACCAATTTTGCCTTCCCTGATTACCTATACCCTGCCAAGTGACAATCACTGGGGCATGCTATGGAAAGTATTATCTCACTACTATGTCCAGATTACTTTTAAGTCCATTGTTTTTAAAGAAACAGTTCTGCCAAAAATATTCGGGACATGAATATTATAAATCTAGATTATTTGTGGTGCAACAGTAAAAGCATTGCCTAATGTGGTCAGTCATTAGCACCATCAGTGGTTTTATACTGGCTCCAAAAGTGGCTGTTTTCACTAAAATATCTCCCATTACAGGAAATGTTTGATGTAATTCTGGATGAGAACCAACTTGAAGATGCCTGTGAGCACCTGGCTGACTATCTGGAAGCCTACTGGAAGGCCACACATCCTCCTTGCAGTAATCCTCCGAACCAGCTCCTCACTCGCACTCTTGCAACAGCCACTCTTCCCATCAGTCCGGGGCCAAACATAAATTTACAGGTAGAGTTTCCTTTCTCTCTTTTCTCCCACCCCCATTCATTTCTGCAAATGTAGCGAGACTTAGCAGGGTGCACAATGTGGATTCTGATATAGGAAAATGTTAAATGCGTTTCACTGGGAACCGTAAGTTGATATAGCAGAAGACCTCTGCACTTAGGAAAAATTACTTGCTCTTTTTGTAACGTGAACAGAGTAGACTGGGGAAAAAGGAGTGTATGTTCCAGCTAGCTCCAGCCTTTGTCCCCATGGCTGAAAAATTGCTCTGAATTACCTGTGTGCTGAAGGAGCAGTTTAGGTCCTGAAGTTTTCCAGCAAAGTTATTTAGTATGATAGATACAATTCTACAGATATAGTATTGTTTACGTCTTTTTATGCCCTTGAATAGATATTCATATGCTCTTCCAACCATAATGTGTTATTAATTATACCTTCCTGAATGGTGAGATCTCTTCTTAAAAATTCACAAGTTTTATTTGAAACATTAAAAAACAAAACTATCTTTATGCTTTCACAGTATTGTTTCATGGTTTATTAATCCTGAAATAGAGTAAAACTCCAATAGTCCGGCATCCAATTGTACGGCACTCCCGATAGTCCGGAATCAAAATGGCAAGAGCTTAGTGAATGAGCTTCAGCAAAAAACAAGTCACAAGGCAGCAGCGGCACCAATTGAAATGAGCAAAAAGGATAAAAAAGGGTTAAAATAACTAAAACATTACAGTATACTGTATACAGTATGTACAATAAAAAGGGATAAAAATACTTTATATACTGTGTGTGTGTGTGTGTGTGTGTGTGTGTGTGTATATATATATATATAAAACCACCTTATAGTACCTCTTGATAGTCCATCATATCCGATAATCCGGCACCACCTAGGTCCCAAAGGTTATGGATTATCAGAAGTCCACTGTACTGAGCAAAGGTAGTCCCGTTTAAAATCTATAATCTTAACTTCCTCCTGCTTTGTCATATGTAGATATATTTTAAGCAGAGGTAGGCTAACATTGGAACCTCAAATCTGAGCCTCCTCAAATATAGGAATGAAGTGAACTTGCATCCCAGTCTACAGATCTGAACCTACTGTTAGAATCCAAAACTAGGGATGGAACCTGTTTTCTCTTTCTTGTTTCGATACAGCTAAAATCTCACAAGAACTAAAATATTTCAACCTGAAATCTCTGAAGAGCTGATCTCATATTTCCATATTTTTTAAAAGAACTATTTTTAGAACAGTTCATTACATTTCAGCACTCCTTGAACCAAACCCAAATTCTAGTCCTAATATGATTTTAATACACAACCCCAAAATTTAACCTAAATGTTAATCTGGATCAAAATGCTGCTCCCTCAGTCCATCTGTAACAGTAGTGGCCAGTTTTCTCCAGGGATTTGACCAGGGCTTCCATTAGATTTTTTTTTTTTTTTTTTTTGCACTAAGGGTATGTCTACACTAGCCGCCTAGTTTGAACTAGGGAAGCTAATGAGGACGACCGAAATTGCAAATGAAACATGGGATTTAAATATCGGAATCGCCCTTCTCTGCTGTATGTAGACATGGGCAGTTCTTCCGGGCTAGTCAATTTCCAAAATGGCGACCACCTGGGAACATGCTAATGAAGCGCGGGATATTTAAATCCCACGCTTCATTTGCAATTTCAATCGCCCTCAGTAGCCTCCCTAGTTCGAAGTAGGGGGCTAGTGTAGACATACCCTAACAGTTTCTAAAACTGGAGAGAGGAGGAATATAATTTGTTTAACCCCTTGCTTTCCAGTCAAAGTAGGGCAACTGGATCTGAATTCATTGAACATTCTTTTCTTCAGAGCATCTAGAAGTTTTGTACTTGCTCGTCAACCAGAGTAAATGCCTGGTCAAAATTTTGTAACATTGAGTGTATTCGACATTTTGACTATTTGGGAATTCAGATACACCACATAACGGTTCTTATTTTGTGTGCTTTACAATCCATCCTAGTCAAGCAGATTTAATTTAGACTGTTTTTTAAGTTACTTTTGAATATATTCTAACAGAACATCCTGGCTGTGTCTAGACTGGCATGATTTAGCGGAAATACTTTTAACGGAAAAGTTTTTCTGTTAAAAGTATTTCCTCAAAAGAGCTTCTAGATTGGCACGGATGTTTTTGCGCAAAAAGTACTTTTGCGCAAAAGCATCCGTGCCCAGTATAGATGCGCTTTTGCGCAAGAAAGGTCCGATGGCCATTTTAGCCATATGGCTTTCTTGCGCAAAAAATTAAGGTGCCTGTCTACACTGGCCCTCTTGCGCAAGTATTCTTGCACAAGAGGGCTTATCCCTGAGTGGGAGTGTCAAAGTATTTGTGCAAGAAGCACTGAATTCTTACAGTAGAACATCAGTGTTCTTGCACAAATTCAAGCGGCCAGTGTAGACAGCTGGCCAGTGTAGACAGCTGGCAAGTTTTTGCGCAAAAGCAATTGCTTTTGCGCAAAATCTTGCCAGTCTAGATGCACCCCATGTGTGTATTTTATTCAGAAACCAGTTCTTGGCATTTCTTTCCATCCACCTTCCTGAACAGCACTAACTATTCAAATTCATATTTATTATTGTCCGCTCCCAAAATGCCAACATCAGATAAAGAATGACCAGAACAGAAACAAAAGTCTTCCACCATAGAAGTCTAGAGTCTTGTGTTGACAAAGACATGATATCAGAAATTCCTGAATCTGAACAACAGAAATGATATAACCTCCCATCTAATTTTGCAAAGCAGATGCAATTATAGCTTTTACTGTGCTTGGATAAACAGATATACCACTGTATTAAGTTCTACTGATATAATACTGAGAGGCTGTGCCCCCTGATTGCTACGCTCACCAGCCCCCCTCTCACCCCTCCTCCACCGGGCAAAAGTTTCAGGTTGAACAAAATGGTTTTTATTTTGTTTAATTTCAGTTCATTACACTAGCTCTGCATAGCCCCATTTATGGGTATTGTGTCATTTAGTGCCTAATGGTAGAACTATCTCCAAGCAGTGTCCTTTACAGTGCCCACATGGCCTCTCCTGTTCCTCCCCTCAGTAGCTGCAGTTTTTCTAAGAGTGAGGGTATATAAGAGGGCACAGTGCCCTCTACCACCTCAGCTTCTTGCAGTCACTATGCCAGATGGACATAAACTGCTCCATTCCATTCAATAACAACTGCAGCTGACCAACCCATCACATCCTTTTGGGTACTATTCCACAACAACTGGGAGCAAATAACATCTGACCCATGATTCCTTGAAATTATCAGCCATAGGTAGTCCAAACACTTCACTTTCTCCCCTCTCTCCCAACCAACACCCTTTCCCATCCCTCCTCAGAGACTGTCCTTACAAGAGTTTATTCAGGAGTGGCCATAGACAAGCTGCCAGCAACTGGCGCACTAGGCGAAACGCGTAATCGGCGCGCAATTGGTGCCCCTGCCTCCAAAGCCCTCAACAGCCGTTTTTCTTGGTACCCTAGGTGACCGCCTAGGTCGCTTGTATTGACAGGCCGCCACTGAGTTTATTATGGCAAGAAATAGATTACCTCCTCTGTCTAGGAGCTATAGAGCCTCTATCTTAGCACCTGTGAGATAAAGGTTTCATTATTTTCTGATACCAAAGAGAAAAGAAGGTTGGAGACCCATACTAGAATTCAGAGCACCGACCAATTTGTCAAAGCTAAAAAATTAAATATGATCACACTAGCAGCCTTTTTTCCATCTTTGGAAAAGAGAGATTGATTCTTGGCCCATAACCAACAGGATGCCTATTTCTCATATTGAACTTACCTTCCAACAAAAAATTCCTAAGATTTACCCTGGACCAGGACCATTATCAATACACAGTACTCCTCTCATTGACCTCTCATCGACTCTGAGAGTACTCTCCAAAGTTCCCTCCATAGTGGCAGCTCACCTAAGCTCCAAGGAGATTATGATATACTCTTACCTGAACAATTGTCTCCTGAGAGCCCACACCTTCAACCAAGCCCTCTGGAACATCCAGACTTCTGTAGACTTGTTCACAGAACTGGCCTACAGATCAATTTTCAAGAATTGATGGTTACTCCTGTATAGAACCTAGCATGCATAGGAGCTGATCTCAGCTTGTTACAAGGAGGGTACTGCTTCTGCAGCAAAGGTTTCACACCTTGTACTCAGAGAAGCAGTACAATCCAGTCATAAGATATCAGCCAGACATTGCCTCCTACTGCTGGGGTACATGGCTGCAGGCACATCTTTGACATACCAGATTTCTTGTCAGGTGCCTTCATATGCTGAACAAAGATAAAAACACGGTCTTGTGCAAGAGCCATTCTGCTGCTTATTTTCAGGCAGAACGGCACTTGCGCAAGAGGGGGTTTTTGCACAAAAAGGAACAGTTTAGACTGCTCCTTTTTGCGCAAAAGCCCCTTGCGCAAAATGGCGGCTCACTAAGTATGCAAAGGAGGCAAGGCAATATTTCTTGCCACATTTGCCTATGTTCTTGAGCAAGACTGGTCAGTGCAGATGTAGCCCTTGTGTTAGGAGAATGCTAGCCTTTTACCTGGACAGAACAAAGGTCTTTAGGAAATCTCCTAAGCTTTGCCTCTCTGATGGGTTATCTAACATGTCTCCCCTTTTGAGGGAATCTTGTCCTTCCTTGGTAATGTAATTTGGTCTTATTTACACACACAAAGCCACCTTTTGAACCTTTCACTGAGTATTATTTGTATTATTTCTCTGTTCATTATTGCCGTGCTGTCAGCCGGAAGAGTGAGTGAATGAAATAAATACCATGATGGCTAATCTACCATATATGACTTTTCGCAAAAGTGAAGTTGCTCTGACCACAGGTTTTTGCCAAAAATGGTTTCTGAATATCACATCAATTATACAATTAATTTGCCAGTGTTTTTCCAGGACTGCATATGAATAAAGGGGAATCTTTTTAACACTGTTTAGATGCTCTATGATTTAAATAGAATTAAAAGGTTTTGAAAATCATTTACATTATTC